TAACTACACTTTATTGCTAACTTGCTTTCTACAAATATAGATTTTGTTTTGCTATGTATGTATGTATATATATATTTTTTTATTTTTATTTTTTTAGGTATTTGAATAAAGACAATACTTTTAAATGCTGTGTGTTCTCTAAATTAAAAAAAAAGTGTTATAATTTAGATTTGGGAGTTTAAGTTAAGAAGATTGCAAAATAAGGTGTTTAGGCTTGACAGACAGTTCTAGGATACCAACAAAGACAAAAATGATTAGTTTGACTCTGTCTGTCAGGGTGGTGTGTGTTGGTGGGGACGGGTCGGTGGCTGAGGTGTGTCACGCTCTAGTCCTCAGAGCTCAGCTGGATGCTAATTCTCCAGAGAAACCAGTGAAAGCAGTGCTGCCACTTGGAATCATTCATGCCGGGGAGAGAGAGAAAAGTCCCAAGATCTATCCATATATGTATATATATATACACATATATGTATATATATATATATATATATATATATATATATATATATATAGACTATATAGAGCTTGAGCATAACTAGCAACCAAGATAACTTCAAACAAAGAGAACTGGTCGTGAGACGACAAAAACTAAAGCAAATCAGCAATCAAATTAACTTAAGACACTAGAATCAACAGCAAATTTAGCAGACTAGCTTGGTTTAAAGAAAGAGATACTTAGTCCGATTTCAGGTCGCCTGGATGTCTGGTGGCCTTGTAGAAGAGATGCACACAATTCCCAACTTATATTCTCCCATTCCGTTTGAAGGACCATCTTTTGTCTTCCTCTTGTGTTTAATGTAAAGTCACATTGCCATCTGCTACTGTGTTTTTTTTATTTTTGCTAGCTATGATGCCAAATGTGGTGGTAATCTGTCTTTCAGAGGGAGAGGGGCTCGATACTAACTCAACAGTGTCAAAAGTTTACTTTCTGTCATGTGAGTCTACAATCAGAATAGTAGCAGGGGAGCCTGATGAAGAGACGTGTGAAATGTGATGCAAAGAAATCTCTCCAGAGAGATACCGAAACTCATACAGAAAATGTAATTTCAGCAACAAAAGGTTCTTTGTTGTATTACAAACGTTAATTATCTTTTTCATTGTTTTTCAGAAACCTTCTGGATAAAGACACATTCTCAAAGTCAGATCCATGTGAGTATGCCGTAGTCACTCTGGGTTTGGACGTGGGTCCGTGCTCTACTGTATAAGAACTCTTGAACAAACCGCTGCCATTCTTCTTTTTTTGAGGATACTGCAATTTGGGAAATCTTTGTTTTGCTCTTCGTGCCATGGTTGCTCGTTTCCTGAACTGGAGCTAAACCGCTCACATTGATTTCCTATTTTGAATCTGCCTGCAATTCTCTGATTATCTTTCTTTCTTCCTTCCTTCTCTTTCAAAACATTTTGTCCCTCTGGGCCTTGTCTCTACAGTATGCGTGCTTTATACTCAAGGTGTTGAAACCAAACAGTGGAGAGAGGTGAGTGTACACACACAAACATTAAAGGTCATTTGCTTATGTCCAATTAAGTTCTTGCTGTGTTCGCTATGGGTTTGTCGTAATTTTGTCTGTTTTTGTGTATAGTGGGGCTCCAGAAAATACTTTTTTTTGCTTTTTTGCTTTCACGTTGAGAATGTAGCAGTTGGCTTAGACTCTTTGTTAAAACTCTTCAGGCATCAATTGTCTGAAAATGGCAGAGATATATGTATTCTAATTGGATGCTTCCGCCAACGTAGAAAAGCCTCAGTGTAAAAATCAATATGTTGACACTTTAGGGACTAAACAGCATTTCGGGAAGGTTTTAAGCCAGCTCTTACTGTGCCTAAATGCAATCCATGCATTACTGCCCGCCCTGTCGTTATCTGATTAAAATGTCTGTTTGCCCATTCATTATTTTGCAAGTAAGAAATTACAGGTGAAGTAAAACCATAACAAAACATTTAACGATAGCCAATGAGTAAATTAATTGAACATTTGCATTCATTTGTATTTATTTACATTCCTGCCCTCTCCTGTACCAAGGGCTAAATGAATTAATGCCATGAAACTACAATTCAACGTTTTTATTAAATCATGTCAAATGTGCAACTTTTAAGAATTAAGCTGGTGGTAATGTATTTGTCCATAAACGTCTAACTGTACTACAGTGAGGAAAATCTTTTTATTTCGTTTTATTTTATTATTTTAAAATTGGCTAGTGTAATAAATTTAGTTTCAATCTTTCAAAAAACATTTTCTGCTTTTTATATTATCTATGAATTATTCACTGAAGTGAAGTTGCTAGTATTTTGTATCCCTCCAAATTTCAGTTTTACACACTATTTACAGGCAAAAAAAATGTTGTCCATGCTTATGCACGCATTTCACAAACAGTATTCTTTATTGATGTCCGCCCCCATATCTGACAGCCTTACTCACCACACAATGCAACATTGTCAATAATTCAAAAACGTGGTCAACTGTGAATGTATAATAGATCATAGATTTAACAGATTACAGATCACAGATTTAATGGAATGTATATGTATTTATGTGTGACATTGTGATGACCCTCATATCAGCAGATGGCTGAGTGGGCTTTCATTGAAATACAGATTAGGGCAGGGGTCTCAAACTCATTTCAGGTGCGTGCCAGATGCACTTCGACCGAGTGGGGGGCGCTGACACCCGGTCGACGGGGGGGGTGGCAGCGCCGACGGTCCAACTGGCGAACGGTATGGTCGACGGGGGGTGGGGGCGCTGATACGGACGCCCCGGCGTCAAAGATCACATTTGATGATCTCCACCTTTTTCACAAGTTGTCTCTTTATATGCAGCTTTTGATTAGATAGAGAACGTCTATTTTGCCTCAACTCTGTAAGACCACAGAACAAAATCATATGTGCACATTCCACTTTTTGGTTTCGCACGTTCCTCTTCCTGTGCGGTACAAGGCTTCACTCTGCTCGGAGAATACACTCATGGTGAATTTAGACTTTGGCTGAATGCAGGGTATTTTATGGTCCACAGCTCATTTACCGTCAGAGATCAGTACATTCAATGAAGTGTGAAAATGTTATATAACTCTTAACCTTGTCTCCTCTCCTCACTATATTCACCATCAGTTTTATCAAAAGAGAAGAACAAACAAAACCTGGAGTGGAATCCATCAAAACCTTGTAATCTTAAAAAAAGTCTGTTATGAAAAATGAGTATTTGGTAATGAATGAAGTTAAAAAAATAGTAATGCATTATATTGGCTCTCTGAAAACACTCATCACGTCGATTAGGTCATCATCAAGCAGAATTCAGCTAAACTGAACTTATTAAACAATTTTGAGGAGGAAATATTACATTACATGTCATTTTTTGAATGATGTTAACAATAATAATAATTAAAGCTGCAAGCTGCGATGAACGGGCCTGAGCCTTCCCTTGCATGTTGGGGGGGCAGCGGTCAGCCGGACACGTGGTCAAAAAGATGCTATTCCGAAGAATTGAAATCATATCAAGTAACTACATCTTTAACTGTAAATGTGTTTTCCAAATTTGGTAAGGATTGGACCACATTTAGTCACTCAAAAGCACCTCCGTTTGACCTTAAAGAACGGGTTGCCATGGCAATAGTGTAATACGAAACAAAAAGTTTTTAATAACTTTTTATCACCAAAGCCTTGAGACTGTTTTGTCAAAATTTGAAGAGTCCCAGGGAGGAGTTTGTCAAAGTATAGCGTCTAGAAAGTGCAGAGAATAGGGGAATATTCGCACAAAAAAAAAGATAACTGTTCATTTTAGAGCATGGTCCCAAGAGACTTTATTTTAAGTCTCCCTGTTTTACATATGTCCAAATCGTCATACATATCGGTCAAACAGGGCGCTGGGGCTACTTCGTTGAAAACTGTCAGGGAGCGCTATGGAGGCAATTTACCACTTTTGAGCCAAAACTCCACATCAGCTCTGTAATGTTATTACCTAGCACACTGACATACACATTTCAAGTTTTTGAGTTTGCCAAGGCACCCAAATCTTTGCTTGAACTTTGATGCGAAGACTGTGTTCTCACACCAACAAAGTTTTTCAAAAACTTCCAGTATTCACCACGAACAATTATTAAAGTCTTAAGGCTTATCTGCAGGCAGTTGAGGTTGATTAGATAAAAGGGATAGGAGTAGCTCATCAAAGTGTAAAACCTGCATGGGACTACTTTAAGGCCTACACTAGCATGATGTATGAGGAATTTTGGCTAGAAATAAAAATGTTCCTTGGAGTTATAACATTTTGACATTTTCAAGAAAATCGACCAAGATGGACGCCAGGCCACGCCCAGGTAGTTGCACGAAAACTCTTGACTTTTGACCACACCGGTGTCAGGATCAATTTGCCTGAACCTAAAATTGATCGGGTTTAAATTCTTGGAGGAGTTTGTTCATTTATGAATCAAAAATACGATGGAAATTGGAAAAACAAGCAAAAATTCATCTAATGACTGCAGCCCCCAATGTTCAAATAATCTGACAATGGGTAGGCTCAGGGACCCAGTGTGAACATATTTAAATATTTTAAATATTAGGCCACACCCCTTACAAACTTCATTGGTCCATAACTTTGATAAATAATGAGATATCGACAATCTTCTAATAATTTTGGATGGCATTGCACCAATAATCATTCCCTGAAGATTTCGTGAAAATCGGACCCAGCGTCTGGCAGGAGTTCGCAAAAACGTGTTTTTCACAAAATTCAAAATGGCGTAAAATCTAGCAAGGAGCATTTGCATACCATGATTGACTTTTTTGTAGAGCATATCCAAGAGCACCCATATGCAAAATTTCAAGTGAATCGGTGAAACTGGGAAAAAATCTCCCCAGAGGAAACACTTCCAGGGGGCGCTAGAGAGAAGAGAGAGAAATTCTTAGCACTTCTGATGCGCACGCCAAAACTCAAGAGTTTTTGAATATGGGAAAGTCCTCAGAAGTGCGATTGAAGTGGCAAAATAATAATAATTCTTCGAAACACAATAGGGACTTGCAGTCGGCTCAGGCCCAAATAATATATATAAACCCAAATATCATTGGTTAACGGTAATTTTCATAAAAATTACCTTTACTATGTGTAACAACATATGTCAACACAAATTTATGTGATTAAAGTGTCACCGTATGGCGTATGTTCTGTATGTACAGTGTATAGAGTGTATATAAGAAAAAGTTGTACTTCAGTTCATGGAACGTCTATTTCTGTGTATCATCTGCTGTGTGTGTACATACATGTGCCCCACAATCACTCAACCCCAACTCTAGCTCAAAGCTCTGAAATATTTGGAGATGTACAGGATTTTCCCCAATGAAGTCAAATTTCGTAAATACCACATGCGCTCTCTCTTTCTTTCTCTCTTAAGTCACACCATTGTCATCAACCTCTCTCTGTGAACACAGATTCTACCAGTGTCATTTTATCAGCACCATGTTATAGTTTGTGGTACATGGTACAGGGAGAATTAAATTCAACGTTGGCATAGGAACTAAAGGACATTCATACGGAACAAATCCCCAGAGGTGATTCACGTTTGCTCTATAATAAAAGATAATTAAATCTTTGTCAGGTTGCGAAATAAAAAAATAGGATTAGACTCATGTCCTCTATTTCCCACTTCTCACCCATAGTGTGTGTAAACGTTTTTTCTTTTCTGTCTCTGTACTTGAGTGAGATGTCCACTTTTCAATATCGGCCACTGCGGAGGTCTCTACTGTAACTGTTGTTACCCTGTGTGCATGTGTGTTAGCTATCAGCTGGTGGGCCAGGCGACACTTGTAACCCAGGTCCACAGTGCTGCACCTGTGTGCACATGTGTGCCAGATTCTCATTAGCCAGCTCCCAACAGCCGCAGTATCTAATAAACTCTGAAGCACGGCTTTGTCTCCTCCTCTCAGTGGGGAAATCACATTATGGAGCTCGTCTTCACCAACACCCGTCTCTGTGCCAGCATGCGCTCACAGCCTCATCAACACCTCGGGGTCTCTTACAAAGTATGGGTGGCTCAAAGATTCAACATCAGTGTCCTTTTCCCTACTTTTTCTTCCTCGCTGGTGTTGAATTTAGATGTTCAGACAGTGAGTTGATACAGAGAAAAATATGACCTTTAAAAAATGAAGAGGTGTTCAAAATTGTGTAACAATACAGAAATGTGTTTTTTGAACCAGTTGAGTTGTCCTGATTGCCTACATTATATTGATTTTTTTATGTTCACTAGAATGGAAAGGTTTACTCAGGAATCAGGAAACATTTATTGCCAAAATATGTCATACATACAAGGAATTTGACTTGGCAGTTGGTGCGTGACAGTAGACAGTGTAGCAATAGACAACAAGACAGCAGTGCACAAGTAATAAAATAAAATGAAATACTATGGGTTAGTAGAATAAGGCTATGGGTTAGTATAAAATAAGAGAATAAAGTTAAAGTTAAAAATTAAAAATATTAAAAAAGTTAAATATTAAAAAATAAAGTGCACTAGCGAACAAGTGACAAAGTGACGAGTGAAAAATGACAGTAAAGTGACATGTGCAGTATGAAAGAAAGTGACCGGTGGAATGTCAGAGTCAGTCAGTGGGGGACCGGGCTCTGTTGATGAGCCCGACTGCCGACGGGAAGAATTTGTTTGTGTGGCGGGAGGTCTTAGTCCTGATGGACCTCAGCCTCCTGCCAGATGGAAGGGGCACAAACAGGTTGTGTCCGGGGTGAGAGGGGTTGGTTACGATCTTTTTAGCTCGCTTCAGAGTCCTGGAAGCGAACAAGTCCTGCAGGGACAGCAGATTGCAGCCGATCACCCTCTCTGCAGAGCGGATGACACGCTGCAGCCTGCCCTTGTCCTTGGCTGTGGCTGCAGCGTACCAGATGGGGATGGAGGAGCAGAGGATGGACTCGATGATGGCCGTGTAAAAGTGGACCATCATCGTCTTTGGCAGGTTGAATTTCTTCAGCTGCCTCAGGAAGAACAACCTCTGCTGAGCCCTCTTGGTGATAGAGCTGATGTTCAGCTCCCACTTGGTCCTGGGTTATGATGGAGCCCAGAAAACGGAAGGAATCCACAATAGTGACGGGGGAGTCGCACAGGGTAATGGGGGAAGGTAGGGGATCTGTTCCTCCGGAAATAAACAACCATTTACACTGTCTTTAGAGCGTTGAGTTCCAGGTTGTTCTGGTTGCAACACGACACCAGATGGTCAGACCGTAGGCGGAATCATCCCCACCAGAAGAACAGTCCAATGAGGGAGGTGTCATCCGCAAAATTCAGGAGCTTGACGGACTGGTGACTGGAGGTGCAGCTGTTAACAGAGAGTAGAGCAGAGGGGAAAGAACGCAGCTTTGGGGGGAACCGTTGCTGAAGGACCGAGATGCTGGAGGGTGTTGTGGAGGGCCATGTTGACAGCATCGTCCACAGACCTGTTGGCTCTGTAGGCGAACTGCAGGGGGTCCAGGAGGGGGTCGGTGAGGGACTTCAGGTGGGTCAGGACTAGCCGTTCAAAAGACTTCATGACTACAGAGGTCAGGGCGATGGGCCTGTAGTTATTGAGTCCTGTGATCCTGGGCTTCTTGGGAACAGGGATGATGGTGGAGGCCTTGAAGCAGGCTGGTACGTGACATGTCTCCAGGGAGGTGTTGAAGATGTCAGTGGACACCGGAGACAGCTGGTCAGCATAAGGGTTCGGGGGTTTTGTCTTTTAAAGAGCCGGTCAACGTCTCTCTCCATAATAGAGAGGGTCGTTGCTGGTGGGGGAGGGGAAGGCGATATAGATGTAAGAGGCGTGAGCCCCTGATGGGCTGGGGGAGGGAGGGGTGGGGGACTGGGGCAGGTTGGTGGAGCTGTGGGGGATGGGATCTGGACATTGTCTATCGAATCTGCAGTAGAACTCATTCAGATAGTCTGCCAGGCGGAGGTCATTCATGGAGTGGTTTTTTTTTGGCTTGTAGTTTGTGAGGTGTTTGAGGCCTCTCCAAACTGAAGCAGAGTCACTACTCACACATCCACCAACAGTACTCGCTGTACAGATAATCTGTGAATATTCCTGAATTATTAACAGAATGAATACCATGGGCTGCTTGTTGGTCTCTTTGTGTACCTAGTTAACAATACAACACTCACGGTCTTAAGCAGTTGCCAAATAACAAATTAAAGTTCCACAATATACCAACTGCTACCATGTGAAATATTTGACAATTTGATTAAACTGTGTATTCATAGTGTAATTCCAGGAGGCTGGATATATATTTTACAGTGTATATGGTATTTCATATTTAAAATTTAAGACATTTTTTCTTTTACAGTAAAAGCATGTGGTAATGCTGGGTCTTTGCCTACCTTTTATCTGGCGTGTTTCCTTGCTTTGGGAGTGAGAATCACACTAATTAGGAGGCCTTAATCACTGCGTCCTATCCCTTCCCACTCTTTTCCCCTTTTCACCCTCCTCTCCTAAACAAACCGTGCGCTCCTCTTTTGTCCCCTTTTCTTCATACTTCTGGTTCTCCAAGTTTCTCTCTCCGCCTCTCCCGACACGCTTACCTCTTTCTTTATCGCTTTCTCTCTGTGGGGTTGATGATGTGGGTTATCTTGCTGTAGCTAATGTGGGGGAGCAGTGAGGATCGAGGAAGCAGGAAACACACTGTAGCTTCTTCCTCTGTAGACTAGCAGCGTATGGAAGACCTTCCATTAATCAAGTCTGTGTGTAAGCATGTGTGATAAGCGAGAGTCTGAGAAAGACAACAAAAAGATCAAAAAGGTGTGCAAGGTGACCACATCACTCACTGTATTTGTTTATTAAATAATGTCTTGCTTTCTTTTTATCAAATTAAATGGCTAAATGGCTCTCCTCATCTGTCCTTCTCCTTCCCCAGTTTGGAAGAACAGAAGTCATAGACAACACCCTAAATCCAGACTTTGTTCGAAAGTACATCCTAGACTACTTCTTTGAGGAGAAGCAGAATCTTCGCTTCGACTTGTGAGTGATTTCCTTTGAAGGCGTATCAGCATTGTATTTTCTCTCCTGCCTTCTGTTTTGTTCGCTGTCATTTATTTTCACACCCTTAGTTCTATCTCATTGAGATCCCTTCCATTATTACACCCTTGAGAACCTTCCCCCGAAACAGCAATCCCCACCGTAGTGGTTTGCATGGGCTCTGATAAGAGCAATATATCAATTGTTTGGAGGGTGTTGGTTCAAATGTTTCATCCTTCACTAAAGCAAAAACACAAAGGCAAAAGTGTGAGGAATGCAGTACCTGCTGTAAAGAAGGCTCCACGCATTAGCCAGCCTGGCTAACTAGGTAGTTTGCTACATACAGGTAAACAAACCGGTAACTACATGAGGATGACAGGTTTCATTTTGATGCTATAACAATTGAACTCATCTTAAATCCACCATCTCTCCCCGCTCCTTCGATTGGATTTACCCTTAACACAGCCCTACTTTATATCCTAAACAGCTACCCCACTACACAATTCTAAAATATACCAACTCCACAGTATATGATTTGATCTATTTGCCTCAATTGATAGTAATAACGTTGTAGTGCGTGGAGCCTGAGTAATCTCCGGGCAAACAGGATCTATTGTTTAATTGGATGTTTAATCTTGGTACATTAGATAATAGCCTCCATTTCCTTCACTTTCATGATTTCTTTTTCACATGCAAATAAGATCAGGTCCAGCAGTCATTATCATAGAAGAGGGAAATAGGTCTTGTTGAACCCTTCCCCAATTCTCTCTGCAATACTCTGCCCCTCCTTCAGTAACATTTAAAAAGATACTAAGATCTTTTTTTTATCTCGCCTCATTTTGAATATGTGTGAGACTTCCCTTTGTTTCTTGTTATGAGTGAACCCACTGGTTTACATGCTGGGGGTTTCAAATACGTTTATCTTAATTTCCATCATCCTAGCTTTGATACTCGTTTTGTCTTATATTGCACTCATATCATTTTGCTGACACCATTTGAAATACTCCATAAAATAGTCCTTCAACCAACGAAAATAAAAAAGCATGCCCTTATACATCCAGCAGTGTCTTCTACAGCTTTTGAAGTTAACAAGGCTATTATCCTATTTCTTTACAGGTATGATGTTGACTCCAAAAGCCCAGACCTGTCCAAACATGTGAGTGAGCATACTTGAACCTTGAACCACAGATAAATGGAGGCTAATTTTGAATCAAATCTGAATAACTCCTTGATTGGAATTGAGAAAGTAAATATTACTTCAAAGGAGATGGTGTTCAAAGAATACGCTCTTTATCAGTGGTTTTTGTGGCAATGCTTGTTTTTCCGTTTGTTTTAATTGGGTCTGCCTCATGATCTCTTCAAGTACATTATTTGATTATTTGATGCATTTGGATGAGCAGGGTTTGCATTTTTTTCATCAGTGGGTTTAATTCTACCGGTGTGCATCAGGTTTTAGTTCTCGCACATGTCACACTCACCTGCCAGCTCGATCTTCCACACCTGCCCCGCATCCACAATCAGTCACTCTCCTGCCTTCCACACCTGCTTCGCATTCACAATCAGCCCCGCTACATAAGCACTGCACACCCAGCCTGTCATTGCCAGATTGTTCTTCGCGTCATGCAAGTCTCTCCAGCACTCTACCTTGGACTGATCTCCCGGTTTCGACCCTGCCTGTTCCCTCCCCGTTCGTCTGTCTCCGCCCCGGTGAGCACCTCAGCCTTCTGTCCCCGAGTCCTGCCTGAGCGCCTCGGGTTTCTGTTGCCTGCCCCTTGGACTGCCTCACAGCAGTGCCCGGCGCTTCTGCTCCTGTGCTCCGGATCCCCGACCGGCCCAGCGATCGCACCAGCTGTCTCCCGGCATCTCCTCCCCGATCCTGAGGACCGGACTCTGCTCTGCCTCTCATTGTGCCCGAACGCCTGCTGTGAGGCCGTGTTTAATAAAAGCGTTAACCAAATACTCCGTGCCGTTGTGCTGCATTTGGCTCCGCCACACGTCCGTGTCAGTACAATCTGGCCACAAAATGGAGCCAGCGCACACCGGTTCACCACAGCAGCGCTTGGAGAGAGTCGAGGGCGCCCTCGTGCAGCATGAGGCGCTCCTCACATCCACCCTGGCTGAGGTGCGCCAGGCGACAGCCGCCAGCCAACAGGCCAGCGCCGCTCAGGAGCAGACGTTACCGCCCTGGTCGCCCAGATCCAGCAGCTCGCCCTAAGGATCTCCCAGACGGAATCACAGAGCCCTCCAGCTGCATCTCCCGCAGCTGTATCTCCGCCCACCCCCCCCGGCCCCGCCTTCGAACCCCGGATAGGAGCTCCAGAGCGCTACGGCGGAGACCCAGAGAGCTGCTCTCCCTTCCTGACTAACTGCTCCATCCTCTTCGCCCTGCAGCCCCACACCTTCGCCTCCGAGGAGGCCCGGGTGGCCTTCGCCATTAATCACCTCACTGGGAGGGCCCGTCTGTGGGGAACGGCGGAATGGGAACGCCAGAACCCCGTCTGCAGCTCATTCCAGTCCTTCGCCGCCGAGGTCCGAAAGGTTTTCGGTCCGCCAGCTCTAGGCCCAGATGCCGCCGGCGGTCTCCTGAACCTCCACCAGGGAGACCGTGCGGTGGCAGATTACGCCGTAGATTTTCGCACCCGAGCCCGCCAGAGCAGGTGGAACACTGAGGCTCAGTGCGACGCCTACCTGCGGGGCCTGGAGGACTATGTAAAGGACGAGCTGGTGTCCTTCGGCCTACCCACCTCCCTGGATGAGCTCATAGAGCTAACACGGCGAGTTGATTGACGCATCCTTGCCCGGCAGGAGGAGAGGCGACAGGGAGGGGCTGGACGCCTCCAACCTCGCCGCAGCAGTCCGCCACACCAGGCTTCATCCCTTCGATCTGGACCCCTGGTGGAGGACCCGGAACCCATGCAACTCAGCCGGACCACCCTGTCAACCGTGGAGCGCCGGCGCAGACTGAATCTGTGCATGTACTGTGGGGGAGAGGGACACTTTGTCTCCAAGTGCCCGGGAAAAGCCAAGGCTCACCAGTGACTGGGGACGCACCGGTGAGCCCTCCCTCCAAACTGTCCCCCATCAAGAGACCAATCTGCCACTGCCGCCTGCTGGTGCCAGGGGGTTCCCACACCCTGGGCGGTGTTCATTGACTCGGGGGCCGACGTATCCATTATCAACAGTGAGTTAGCCCGGCAGTTGGAGATTGAGAGAGTGCCTCTGCCTCAGCCCGTGCCCGCCAATGCCCTGGATGGTCACGCCCTCGGAATGGTGATCCACCAGACTGTCCCTGTCCAGATGCTGCTCTCCGGGAACCACCATGAGTCGATTTCTTTTCACATCCTGGACTCAACTCGGATCCCGCTCCTCCTGGGGTTCCCCTGGCTTCGCCGTCATAACCCGCACATCGACTGGGCGACAGGGTCCATCCTGGGGTGGAGCACAGCCTGTCATCAAGTCTGCCTGAAACAAGCCCTCGTCCCCCAGCCCCCATCCTGCCCCACTTCAGCCCCGGACCTGGCGGGCGTCCCGGCTGAGTACAACGATTTCAAGGAGGTCTTCAGCAAGTCAAAGGCTACCTCCCTGCCTCCGCACCGGCCGTATGACTGTGCCATTGACCTCCTCCCTGGCACTAGCCCTCCCCGGGGCCGCCTCTACTCCATCTCGGCCCCAGAGAGAAAGGCAATGGAGGATTACATCAACGACTCTCTGTCCGCCGGCATCATCCGTCCCTCCTCGTCGGCTGGGGCTGGGTTCTTTTTTGTCCAAAAGAAGGACAAAACGTTGAGACCCTGCATAGACTATCGGGGCCTCAATGACATCACGGTAAAGAACCGATACCCGCTCCCCCTCATCTCCTCAGCGTTTGAACTCCTGGAGGGGGCCACCATTTTCACCAAACTGGACCTTCGAAACGCTTATCACCTGGTCCGCATCCGAGAAGGGGACGAGTGGAAGACGGCTTTCAATACGCCCACCGGCCACTACGAGTATCTGGTCATGCCCTTTGGCCTCACCAACGCCCCTGCCGTCTTCCAGTCCATGGTCAACGACGTCCTACGGGACATGCTTGACAAGTTTGTCTTTGTATACCTGGACGACATCCTAGTGTTTTCCAGATCCATGGAGGACCACATCCACCACGTCCAGGCGGTCCTCCAAAGACTCTTGCAAAACTCGCTCTTCGTCAAGGCCGAGAAGTGCGAGTTCCATGCCCCCTCTGTGTCCTTCCTTGGGTACATTATCGGTCAGGGGGACATCCGCATGGATCCGGCTAAAGTATCCTCTGTCACCGCCTGGCCGGTGCCAGAGTCTCAAACAGCTACAACGGTTCCTGGGGTTCGCAAACTTCTATCGCCGCTTCATCCGAGGGTACAGCACGGTGGCAGCCCCTCTCACGGCTCTCACCTCCCCCAAGGTCCCTTTCCGATGGTCACCTGCGGCCGACTCCGCCTTCCAGACCGTGAAGAGCCGCTTCACCTCCGCCCCCATCCTGCGCATGCCCGACCCAGAAAGGCATTTGTAGTGGAGGTGGATGCCTCGGATGTTGGCGTAGGGGCCGTCCTGTCGCAGCGGGCCGCCGACGACCAGAAACTCCACCCCTGCGCCTTCTTCTCTCGGCGTCTGAACCCCGCAGAGAGAAACTACGACATCGGCAACCGAGAGCTCCTGGCAGTAAAGGCGGCTCTGGAGGAGTGGCGGCACTGGCTGGAGGGGGCCAAACAGCCGTTCCTGGTGTGGACCGACCACAAGAACCTGGAGTACATCAGGACGGCCAGAAGACTAAATTCCAGGCAGGCCCGCTGGTCACTCTTCCTCACCCGTTTCAATTTCACCCTCTCCTATCAACCAGGTAGCCGCAACATCAAGCCCGACGCCCTGTCTCGCCTATTTCTGAAGGGGGAGGAGGAGGGTACTACAGAGGCGGACACCATCCTTCCCCCGGCTCGCCTGGCGGCTGCCATCACCTGGGGAGTCTAGGAGAGGGTCCAGGCAGCTCTGGAGGAGCAGCCAGGTCCCAGTGCCTGCCCACCCAACCGACTTTGTCCTGAGGCAACTCCGGTCTGAGGTGCTCCAGTGGGGCCACAGTACCCATCTCACCTGCCACCCAGGGATCCAGCGAACCAGAGAATTTCTCCGGCGCCGGTTCTGGTGGGAGTCCCTGAACAAAGACGTCCAGGAGTTTGTAAAAGCCTGCCCCGTCTGTAACCGGAACAAGTCCTCCAACCAGGCTCCGGCTGGACTCCTGCACCCGCTTCCCGTCCCTCATCACCCCTGGTCCCACGTATCCCTGGACTTTGTAACCGGCCTACCACCATCTCAAGGGCACACCGCCATCCTCACGGTGGTGGACCGGTTCAGCAAGATGGCGCATTTTATTTCCTTGCCTAAGTTGCCGTCGGCCAAAGAAACTGCGGAGGTGGTCCTTCGCGACGTGTTTAGACTCCATGGTCTCCCTGTGGACGTGGTCTCGGACCGGGGACCACAGTTCACCTCTGTCTTTTGGAAGGAGTTCTGCACCCTCATCGGGGCCACGGGGCCACTGTCCTCGGGGTTCCACCCCCAGTCCAATGGCCAGACGGAGCGGAAGAACCAGGAGATGGAGGCGTCTCTCCGGTGTATGGTCTCCAGCCACCCGTCGACCTGGTCCAAACAACTAATGTGGGTGGAGTACGCCCACAATACACTGGTCAGCTCGTCCACCGGCCTCTCCCCATTCCAGTGCGCCCATGGGTACCAACCACCCCTGTTCCCAGCCCTGGAGAGGGAGGTCTCCTGCCCAGCCGTACAGACCTTCATCCGCCAATGTCGGCTCACCTGGGCCCAGGCCAGGGCCAACCTCCAGCGGTCGGTGACTAGATACTCCGCCTCTGCTAACCGCCGACGCTCCACTGCGCCCACTTACCGGGTGGGCCAGAAGGTCTTGTTATCGATCCAGGACCTTCCCCTTCGTGACGACTCCAAGAAACTGGCCCAGAAGTTCACTGGCCCATTTGAGATTCTCAAGATCATCAACCCTGCTGCAGTCCGCCTGAAGCTTCCGCGGACCATGCGTGTCCACCCTACATTCCACGTCTCTAAGATTAAGCCTGTGGTGGAGAGCCCTCTCGTTCCCGCCACCCCGGCCCCCCCACCTCCCCTCATTGTAGATGGAGGTCCTGTCTATTCTGTCCGACGCCTCATCCGCCCCCTCCGCCGGGGGAGGGGCATCCAGTACCTGGTCGACTGGGAGGGCTATGGTCCGGAGACAAGATCCTGGGTCCCCGCCGGTTTTATTGTCGACCCACGACTTATCACCAGCTTCCACCAGCAACACCCGGACCAGCCCTCCAGGACCCGCCCAGCAGCCAAGAGGCTCCGTCCCAATACCCGCACTGCTACATCCACAGCCGGCCCTGACGAGACGGAGGACTCCTTCTCATCATCGGAGGAGTCCGTAGAGGAGAACGACGCGCCCTCCCCCCCAGATCCCCGTCCACCCGGCTCACAATTCAGACCGGGCCAAGTCTGAGGAGTATTGACGAGACTCCTCCAGAACCCTCCCCTCCCTCCCTCGGGGACATCGTTTTGGGACGTCAGGAGACGCCTCTTGAGGGGGGGGGGGTTCTGTCACACTCACCTGCCAGCTCGATCTTCCACACCTGCCCCGCATCCACAATCAGTCACTCTCCTGCCTTCCACACCTGCTTCGCATTCACAATCAGCCCCGCTACATAAGCACTGCACACCCAGCCTGTCATTGCCAGATTGTTCTTCGCGTCATGCGAGTCTCTCCAGCACTCTACCTTGGACTGATCTCCCGGTTTCGACCCTGCCTGTTCCCTCCCCGTTCGTCTGTCTCCGCCCCGGTGAGCACCTCAGCCTTCTGTCCCCGACCACGAGTCCTGCCTGAGCGCCTCGGGTTTCTGTTGCCTGCCCCTTGGACTGCCCGGCGCTTCTGCTCCTGTGCTCCGGATCCCCGACCGGCCCAGCGATCGCACCAGCTGTCTCCCGGCATCTCCTCCCAGATCCTGAGGACCGAACTCTGCTCTGCCTCTCATTGTGCCCGAACGCCTGCTGTGAGGCCGTGTTTAATAAAAGCGTTAACCAAACACTCTGTGCCGTTGTGCTGCATTTGGCTCCGCCACACGTCCGTGTCAGCACAGCATGTTGTCTTCCCACTCTCACCTCACTATCTCAGGAGTGCCAGGTATTCAGTAAAGTGTTTGTATATGATGTGCTCTGTGGTTATTGTTGTTGTTGTCATTGCTGTTGTTGCTGCTGCTCAACCTTTCTGGAAGCCTGCAGAACTCAACGTAGGTCCCAGCATCTCTCTTACTTCTGATGCTGCATGGCTTCTGTGTCACATTAATGATTCTTTCCTCAGGAGGAAAAATGGCGACTCTAATCAGAAATATAAACTGAGAGGATAGCCGACCTGTCTGTGTAGCACTTAACTAGCACCCACATTATGAAAAATAAATATCCAGTCATTGTATCTTACTTTTGTGGTATTTGTTTTGTAATATGATAAAGATGGTGAGATTTCACACGCTCTTCTGTGTGTAACAGTAAGCATAATCGGTGGGCACAAAGACCAGCAACTCACTAAAACGAAACACACCACAGCCTGATGATGCATTATTTAGTGTTTGCCTGTCTGTCAAGGCCAGAGTTAAGGGATTTGATGTTTGGATTATCCCACATTCGTGCTGCGATTTTAAAAAAAATGATTGTGGCAAAAGATTATACACCACATGTTAAGACTGCTAACTTTCCTCCCGTTGGGAACCACAGCATCCAACCATGCTTACCTGTCATACATTAAGAACTTTGATGGCAGTTGTATGGCGGCCAATCAATGTCAAAATTCGAGAGCGCAAATCATTGATGCACGTGCGTAAATCAAACATCCGCGAGCAAATCTCCGTCTTGCGTAAGCAAAAGTCTGTCTCGCGCGAGATATTTGCTCGCTCGCGAAACGTGAACTTCCTCGCTCGCGAGGTTAGTCTCTGCTCGTGCTCGAAGGTGTTTTCTACGCGCTCGCTGTTTTTCTTTTTGACAGTAAGGGGGCGGATCTGATTGGTTACAAACCCCGTCTTTGGATTGGCTGGAGTGATGCATTCACACAACTATAGAAGCCCATTTCCGCACTAAAGAAAGGGGATAGAAAGTCGAAATTATGAGATAAAACGTAATCAAAAAACAAATGCCCTCTTCGGTAATCGTAGTGGACCGTAGATGACAACCAGCTATAACCATCATTTACCATGGTCACTGGCTCCACACCCTCATTGTCAAAAAGAAAAACAGCGAGCGCGTAGAAAACACCTTTGAGCGCGAGCAGAGACTAACCTCGCGAGCGAGGAAGTTCACGTTTCGCCAGCGAGCAAATATCGGAGACGTAGATTTGCTCGCGGATGTTTGATTTACGCGCGCGCATCAACCTGATTTGTGCTCTCGAATTTTGACAGTGATTTGCTCCCATACAGTTGAATAAACTTCACAAGTCACCAACAATGTAACATTGTTGAGCAGAGCAAAGCAATGGTGTCTTAGAAAAAGAAAATATTTTTCCTTTATGTTCCTTTGCAGACATATCCACAATCAATGACCAAGTGCCTTTTTTTGGCATGTTATGTTCTGCAAAAAGAAAATGCAAGAATCTCTTTAGGTGGAATATGTGAATGAAAAACATTCAAAACTCTGACATTAAAATGTAAAGGAGCATGAACGAGTATGCCTCCTTTGCATTGCTCATTTTCATGATTTCTTTTGGTAGTAGGGTAGTTTTTAGTTTATGTCTGATTCCTTTTCTCTCTTTAATTTTTTTCTTCCAGGACTTTTTGGGTCAGACGTTCTGTACTCTCGGGGAGATTGTTGGATCACCTGCCAGTCGACTGGAGAAACCACTGGGGTGAGTAACATTTAAATGAATCCTGAATCCAAAAGTTTTGGAACAACATACTGTGTTAAGAGTGGAATTAAGACGGAAGAATGATTCTTCAGAGCCAATTACAAGGTAATTGGTAAAAGGTTACATGGTGCTCAGGTTCATCAATTTAGCTTAATTTGTTCTCAGGGACACAGGGACAGTGTAAGTGAAAGGGCAGGAGGATGAACAGGAAGGAGAAAAGGACATATTGGTGATTTAGCAAAAGATAGATCAGATAAAGGAGGACTAGATGAGAGGGGGAAACTACAGATGTTTTCCTTAATTATTGTCAAAGAAAAATGTTGACGCAAAATTGCCTAAATTTCTTTTAGTTTCAAATCTGTGTCACGATAAGTCCCGGAGACGGGGACAGGGAGGACTCAAACTCAGATTTCCAAAACAAAAATATTTTATTCAAGTAATGCCTTGATGCAAACCAAAAATGCCTAACAAACCAACAAGGAGAAAAGGGACACACACGGTTTAAATACACTGGGGGGTTGCAGGTGATTGGAGACAGCAGGAAACAATCGGACACAACGCTGAATATCAGAGACCTGGGCTGGGTCCTTCAACAACCGCGTAGGCTGAACCGAACGGTCTCTGAAATGGGAAGGTCTGGCCTACGGGGGGGACTTCCTGCTTGCGTTGTCAGCTTTAACTCCGCTGCTCCCGTTGCCTAGCAACCTGCTGCGCTTAACAATAAAAGCCTTAAAACCCGGAAAACGTATAAAAAGTATGTAGGGGGCAGCATGACGTAGTTAACATCCGTTACCAACGTCACGTAACCTAACTTATAACATTTCTATCGGTAGATATTCGAGTGAATTAACCCACACCGATACATTAAGTGGCATGGTTACGGACGAAAACTTAACTCTTGACATGTTTAACTTAATACTATCAGCAACTGAGAGATAGCCTAACTGCTTTGCCAAATTCTATTCTTTAGGTATTCTATTTCTTGACAGAAAAACAAAGTCGACAGTCTCCAAACTGTCTCCATACTACTACTGTAGCTTGCAGACAGTAGGCTACATTATGAATTATTTTCACGTCATATTTATTTTTTGCCGTGATAATTACTCATAGTGTTAACTCATAATGTGTTTATTTTTTACATGGTTCCAACTGGTTTTGGTGGATATGGGGAACTGTCACACACTGTCAGATGTTAACACCCAGTATGATTATGTTAAGCAATTTAGCGGCAGCTTTATTTTGTCTTTGGGGGAGTACTGAGAAATGCACTGAGCGCCCTTAGACAAACACACGCATGCACGCACACAAGTGATGCATTGCCCTGGAAGTGCTACCCGATGGAGTTTGTTTTCATGTTTCTTTGCAAATGAACAGGATTTATATTTCATTGCTTGGAAATGTCAAAGGCATCTCTCTAAGCTGTGCTGAGCCAATGGTAGAATGTGCATCTGTAACATTAGGCTGTTTTGAATTATTGGTTATAGTGACACTAATTCTCAACCTTGACATGAGCGACGTCTTCCCTTCTCTTTGCATCTAAGCGTAAACTGCATGTAAACACACACACAAGCACAGCGGTACTGTATTTCATCGTTCTTCCTGCTCTCTTCTTTCTAAGTATAATGACTTTAATGTTCCTGAAATTGGTGCTGGTTAAATAGGTAGCATCTTATTTTCATTATGGGAAAAAGCTCTTGAAGAAATGAAGCTTTGAAGCAAGATTGAAGGGTAGAGAAAAGGTGACATCAATGACTATTCGGATAGTTGTTGTGTGTTTGTTGGCAGAGACAGAGATGCTGCTGAAGATGAGCTTAGTCAAAGAACCCATAATTGCTAGTACACAGAAGGACAGCATAACAAAGCATCAAAGTGAAAGACGGCGGAAAATAAGCGTTGAAAACAACATCAAATATTCAAACATCCTGCTCACTAAATCCACACACCTTCTTTAGTCATATAAACCGAAATATGAATGACATTAACATAATGTGTTGGCAATGGCTTTAAGGGTTTTTTATTAAACCAAAGTTTTTGCGAATTTTGAGACTAAGCCGTTGCTCTGTAAGGGATAGTGAAGAGGCTCACCCCACCCCCTTCCCTGATGGCTTCATACAGTATTTTCACAGATCAGCCTATTCCCCTGGATCTTGATGTCATCATAGGCCACCATGTTGATTGATTCATTAATTATTATCACAGTCTTGAGAAGGTTGAATTGAATAAGAAGACACGGAGTAATGAATCTAACACACCTGAAAATCTTTGGACCACCATGAAAAAAAATATATGTACGGTTCTCACCAACGAAGACACTTTGGATCCAGTTTGAGTTTTGCAAGTAACTATACGTATCATGTTTGCCAATTTGAAATGTTATACATCAATAAAGTTGCTGTAAGTCGTTGATGTTGCTGTTGAAGAACAAGACTGAAAATTAAAATGATAGAGTGCTTCCGTCAAACGAGACATTTGTTTCATCTGAACATCAAAGGCACTCTGCTCTTTTATGATTGCTTCAGATGTTATAGTCCTCTCTTGCCACAAGCCTCAAATGCATATTTAGTAAATTAACATTAATTTAAAAGGACAAAGCCACCTGCAACATAGCGGGCTGTTTTCATTACTGAAAGTTTTTGACATTTAAACTGCTATTCATAAAAAATGGAACATTCCATGAAAAAATATGCTTATATGTGTTAGAAGAGATATCATGTGTTATGCAAAATTATTATTTTCAGTTAGTAAGTAGCTGTATGATCTTTACGCATATCTACACCATGATGTGCAAATCAACGAGATATTCATGTTTGCAGACAGGAGACTGAGTTGACACACACAGATATTGCTTCACTGTGTCTTCAGTAAATCTGAAATACACAGGTCATGGACATATATTAACTTCCTTATCAAATTTTGATAATTTAAGATTAAATTGCAACATGTCCAATATTTTGGTTTTGGACTAAATTTGAACTCTCAACTTTGGAAGCATGCTGTTCAATTTTCTTAGATTGGTCTTCAATTGTATCATACTTATTCTTTTCTCTTCAATTGCCCAAACTACTTTTAACCACACTGCATTATACAGTATTCATTAGGAGGTCTTGCTCACGAGGCGTGCCTCATGGAGACCTGCACAAAAATAGAAAATCAGCAAAACCGTATGATGCAAAATAAAACGCAAAGAAGATTAGAGAGGCTCAGGGAAAATCCCACCACACAATGGAAGCATCAAACCTTCAGTAACGATTAGAAACAACTGAAAATATCTTTTATAAGAGAAAAAAAATGAAGTGTCAAAACCTTTGGCCGAACCAATGGAATGGAAATATTGTGAGCTTATTGCCTTCATTTATTCAGGACTACTTTGCTGTGTAGATGCTCCTTTACTACAAGGCACATGCGAGCTGACCATAAAACACTACGCGTTTTACAGAAACCCACGGAGGTGCTCCACTGCAGCAGATGGGGGTTAAATGACTCTCTGGCACACATTGATGATAGACAAGCAGTGGTTTTCCACTTCAGTTTTCCCTAACAGCATAACTAAAACATAAAAACCTTCAGACTGCTGGGAGTCATGAGAATTAGCTCAGATGGTACATTAGAAAGATGCTGGGGGGAGACGAGGAGGCATGCTTGGCCTTTAACCGTTTTGATATTGCCTGCGTGTCACTGTGGACTACTAGAACACAGCAGCAAAATGAAAGGAAATTGTTTGTGAATGTGAATAGAGATCTGTGTGCAGAGGCAGGATTCCCAGCTGGCTACGATGAACCAATGCTGACAGACTACGCCAGAGAAAAGGTCTCCCTATCCCTAACAACTTACCCCTGGAAATCCTGTATGTAGTGAGCGATACTGCAACCATACTCTTCTAGGATGATATATTATTGTCTTTATAGAAAGACATTAGGATTATCACAATGCTAAAGCTAACTGAGAGAGATAGCTCAGTATTGCTATCTATTGCACTTTTAGAGATAGGAGATCATCATCTGTGAGAAACCACATTCGTTATCTTTCATTTAGTGGCATTTTTTTATCTCTTGCGCCTAGTTGAAAACCTGCAGAGCTACAGATTCATTTTTTGCTAAATCAGCCTCTGAAACTTGTATCAACAATTTCAAGGCACAACTTTTAGAAAACTCAAAAGCAACATGCTACAAAACTATTTCTGACACAACTACTTTAACCACAGAGGACATGACATCCTTTCCTACACACATATGGAAGTAAATCTGTGTCATCGGATTTTGAAAGAAAAAGGTGATTGAATTTTTTGCAGTTGAATATTTATGCATTCAAATCATGTTAAGGTGATTGAATTTTTTGCAGTTGAATATTTATGCATTGAAATCATGTATCTGAATGTTTTTCAACGTTAAAATATTCAACCACAAATAATTCAACCGCAAAAATTCAACCACAAAAAATTCAACCGCAAAAAATTCAACCGCAACATCGACAACCGCAACAACAATCGATTGCTCTTCCTTGGGTTGTTTTTCAACGTTAAAATATTCAACCACAAAAAATTCAACTGGAAAAATTCAACTGCAAAAAATTCAATCACCTTTTTCTTTCAAAATCCGATGACACAGATTTACTTCCATACACACACCAACGAACAAACCTGAACATTATTTGTTGTGTGCAGCTCCGATTTGTATCCAGAGTGTCCAAATTCAGTACATTCTGTTTTCAATCGTGTTTTCTGGGTGTAGGTAACTCATAATGGATGAATGGATTTTCAATAATAAGTGTAGACAATTGTTTTTAGTTCATTTAAAAAGTGCATTTTAGAAACCTTGTTTAAAACTGTCAAATTGCTTATGCTTATATCCGGTAACAGACGCAAGTATGCTGAACTATAACCTATGCAAGAACAACGGTATGGAAGTAAATCTGTGTCATCGGATTTTGAAAGAAAAAGGTGATTGAATTTCTAGCACTGAATATTTATGTATTGAAATCATGTATCTGAATGTTTTTCAACG